GATAAAGAAGATGTGGTTCATCTACACAATGGAATATTATTCAGCCATAAGAAGAAAAGAAATCCTACCATTTGCAACAACATGGATGGAGCTAGAGGGTATTATGCTCAGTGAAATAAGCCAGGCAGAGAAAGACAAGTACCAAATGATTTCACTCATCTGTGGAGTATAAGAACAAAGGAAAAACTGAAGGAACGAAACAACAGCAGACTCACAGAACCCAAGAATGGCGTAGCAGTTACCAAAGGGAAAGGGACTAGGGAGAGTGGGTTGATTGGAAGGGAGGGATAAGGGGATTAAGGGACATTACGATTAGTGCTCATAATATAGGGGGTATGGGGAAGGAAGTAGAGCACAGAGAAGACAAGTAATGGCTCTATAGCATCTTACTATACTGATGGACAGTGACTGTAATGGGGTATGTGGTGGGGATCTGATCCTCGGGCACAAGCCTGAGGGAAGGCTGAGGGCCCCAACCTACTTAAAGTCAGGAGAACCTTGGAATGCATACAGGATGTCCTACAGCCACACTGATCCTCATGACACCCCTGAAGGCCTGAGCTTCTCAGGCTCACTCTCAGCTCTCCCATGCTCCCACCTCCCTCACCACAGCCACCACCTCCTGCTCAGGGCTAACTTCTGTCTTGCCAATGTATTTCAGCCCCGGGCAAGTTCACTATGGATTCAATGAGACCGTGGAATGACAATTGAATGTTCTTAGGGAGAAAGGGTTACACCCAACTTTGTTCCCACATTAGCAGGTCAATCACTAGAATCCCAGCCACTTAGAGCGAGTCTGCATGCAGCAAGTCAGTCCCTGCCTTCGGGCCTCTCAACCCCCACAGATGTCTCAGTCTTGTCCTCGGCACTGCTACTACTCCAGTTTCTGCTCTCCTGCACCCTTGCAGCTGTGCAGCCCTGCCACTGTATTGCCCAGAGCACTGGGCAGAGCTCTTTATATAGAGTCAATAGCAATGTATTGCCCACACATGTGTAGTGAGCTAGCTGACCAGGGCCAGGTGAGAATCCTGGCCACAGGAACCTTCACTTAATCCACACCTCAAACCCCACCTTCCCCATGACAGTTCCCTTTGGACCTCCACTGGCACTGGTTTCCTTTGAGAGGCAGTGTGTGTGGGAGCAAGCCAAAAAAGTCAGGGGAAGTTTTCTGGGCCAGCTCTGTCCTGTAAGCAAGGCTCCAGCCTTGGTTTTTTGAACTGCAAATATGAGATCCTATGGTGATTTACTTGCAGAGACCTCTCCAGCTCTAAAATCCAGTGATTCATATTGTATCTTCTTCTCAAATTCTGACTATATATTCAGACAGTAAGGGCTACTGGTTTTGAGTTTGTTTTATATGCTGGGAACTAGCTTGATATCTTAGATATATCATTGCATTTTACCTCACAACAACCCAATGAGGCAATATTGTGATTATGTTATCCCCACTTACAAGAAAACTGAAGTTTAGAGAGGTAAAGTAAAATCCCAATGCTCACACAGCCATGAAACTAAATGCAAAGCCACATCCTTAACCACTATGCTATCCTGCCCTCTGCTCTGCTCTCTTCAGGGGCCAGAAAACCTGTTGGGATCCAGGCTGATATGGGGAGGGAAATGCAGTTGGCTAATAATGTCCTCATTTTATAAAGAAATTTCTCAAATTATTATTAGAGGTGAAATGCTTTGCCCAAGATCACCCAACCAGGGTCAGGAGTAGTAATCCAGAGGCTTCAGGGTTTCCGTTTCCACGTCCCCATGCCATGGCTGCTGATGTCCTGGCCCTGGAAGGTAATAAACAGACCAGGCTACACTTCACTAGCATTATAATTGCTTCATCCTTCACTTTTGTCAAGGTCTTTCTCCTCTTCACTGGTTACCTACAGCTTGAGTAATAATTCTAAACAAGAAGTGAGTTAATTTTTAGTCTTGGCATAAAAGAACAAGGTAATGGACAAGAACAAAGAAACAAACTCCCCTAGCAAGGAAAATTCATTCAGGACACTATGAAAAATACCCATTTTCACACAGCCTGACATACCTCTTCATTAGGAGACCACAACATTAATAGATTTTTTGCTATACTTTACACAAAGAAATCAAGAGAAAGACTGATTTTATCTTTTTCATGCCTCAAAAAAGCAATTCTTAACTAGGAAGAAATTATATTTTAACTCCCATTCATGGGAGACATGAGTTCTTAGGCACACAGATTTTGCCAAATGCCACACGTCTAAGAGGATCTAGGAGGGACACTCAATTCAAGTAATCCTGCTCATCTGCCCAGACACCTCCCACCTGCGCAGGAAAGTGCAGCCTGTAGGCTGCTTCCAAGCAGCTCCTAGAGATTTTGTGTGCTGCCAGTGGTCCATAGCAGTAAATAATCTGGAGATAACTGTGGTGACCTGGCAATGCCAGGACAGCACCATCCTGGCACATCTCCTGCAATCCAGGCCAAGGACAGAGGGGCCTCCCCACCAGAGATCAGTAAAGGTGGCCTCTTCATACTCTTCCAGGCAGAGAGGAGTGAAGCCCAAGTATGTTCCAAAGGACATGGGTGAAACATGATCATTTCAAAGACATAAACCCAACTCAGGGGTGAGTTTGGAGCCCACCAGTCAAATGTGCAGCTACCCAGCATCATTAGGGCTACCTTTCCCTGTTTGGTGCTTCCCACATTAGGAGCCTGCCTTCTCATCTTGCCATAATTCGTTTCCCCAGAATTTCATGCTGTTAGGGTGCAGAAATGTGGTTAAGGCTGCACCTATCAGATGGACCCACGGCCAGGTGATGATTCAGAAGGGAACAAAAGGAAAAAGTAAGCCCCGGAATGTCCTCTGATAAGCTAGCTTGCAGCTGAGGTCCCTGGCTCTTTAGGGACAGCTATGGTGGGGCTTCCTGCACCTGGATGCTGATGTTGACATTGTGATCTGTAGCAAATGTATCCTCCCTGGAGCTCCACCCTGCGGGGTGTTGGGTGCTATTTCAACTACAGTCAGTGTCTTAGCCAGGGACTCTTGATGTCCTGACATGAACCAACCTAATGTTACAAAAAGTACAAATGTACATCCTGAGTACACCTGAAATGGCTTTGCTCAAAAGCTCCCAGGATGGCAGGGGAGCACAGACTTGGAAAGTGGTCACACCTGTGTTCAAACCTAGCTCCACCATCTACTGGCTCTGCCCCTCAGATGTGTAATTTAATCCAGACCCTCAGTTGTTTCAAATGAAAAATGGAGACAATAAAATCCAATCATATTTTTGTTCAGAGAATGAATGATTAAACAAACATACTGTGAATAAGGTACCTAATATAGCAGTTGGCAGAGTAAGTGCTCCATAAATGTTATTTTCTTCTCCACCCTTAACTCTTGATAGTGTTGGGTAATGTATTAACACTTTTTTGTCCCTAAGCTTCCATCTCCAAATCACTCAAGTTTTGGTGAGAAAGAAAAAATTCAAACAGGACATAGTCTTCAATCATAATACCACTAGAGACAATTTTCAAACTCCAATGATCTACTTATAAGACTTATAACTGGGGTCTGTTTGATCAATGAGTCACAAAGTTATCCAATTAGACTGTCATCCAGTCTGAATGCTGATATCTGATATAATGAAACATCATTGTCAAATACTTGGTAAAAATCTATAGCAATGGAATTTCTCTTAAGTCAATAAATCCAATTACACTAATTTTTTTTAAATGATGATGAGTAGAATCTGTTCTGACTTAATGATACCCCCCATGTGTGTACAGCCTATTGATAGCTTCCAGGGTCTTTTCCACACACTGTTGATATAGCCCTTGGAACTACTTGGGAGACAGGCCCTCAGAGAAACTTGCTGGTTCTTACTGAAGACCCAGTCTTGGGGCTCATGGTCTTACCATTCAGGAACCCATGCTGGGATCCTGTCATTCATCTGTACACCAATGTTCCCTGAATGCCTATAATGTGTTGAGAAAATGCTAGGTGATGGATAATCAGACAGGCCCAGCTCTGGCCTACCAGAGTTTAGCAGCACAGAAAAGGGACAATTAATGGGAAAAGGGCCATTAACTGTGACATTCATCAATACACACTGGAGTCAGGTAAGAAACTAACACTATAAAGGTTCCCATTTTTCCTCATTTTTTGAGCCATTCATGGAAAACTACTCTGAGGTAAAAATTCATCTGTCTATAATATATTTTTAACTCAGGCAAGGGAGCTTCAAAACAACTTTTGGGGAGGTCCCTGAGCACCAGATTAAGATAGCTGAGCGTTATTTGGAAAGCAACAGGGAACCTCTGAAAGTTTCTAAGGAGGAAGGTGATGAAATCAGAGATAAATTGGTTCTGGGATGGAAGAGGGATAGACAAAGAGGCAAGTGGCCCCCATCAGAAGGCTATTTCAATAATCTAACAAATGTACAAATGGATGATTATATGTGTATAATCCTAAAGCGATTTCACTTTCTGTACACATTTCTGATTTTTTTAAGTCCTTCCTTATTCAGACTCATAGCAATCAGAAGTAATAAGCGATCATACACATAAGCTAAAAATTCCCTTGGTGTTAATTGACATAATTAATAATTATTTTCTCCACTGTAATGAGCTCAAAAGATGATACAGTATAAAATGATCTACTAGGTCATCTGCCCAAGGAAGATAAATATTTAGGAAGATATCATTAAAAACAGTGTTTAAAATAGTTGTCAATCCCACTCAAATCTGGAAAATATTAATTTATTTCATTTTTTAAAAACTTAGAGTGTACTTTGTGCTTAACTAAACCATACCAGAAATTTTTCTATGCCTGAGTAGCCTTGTCAAGAAGAATGGCTCAAAATGCAAAAGGTTATTGCTGGTGAGTCAGCTGAATCTCCCTTCTTTTGTGTGAAAGTGAATAAAGAGGTCAAAGCTACAGTGGATTCTCCAAAGTATTTTAAGCCCTCAATGTACCCCATTTCTTGAAAGGTGAGGACCAGTCAGCTGAGACAATTGTCACTCTTACCCAGCGTCACCCTGGAAGCCTTCTAACTCGTCCCGTTGCTCTGCCAGGGTAGCTTCCAAGTCCAGGTAGGTGCCGTTGTGGGAGAGCTGCAGCGTGCAGTCGTCGAGCTGCAAGAGAAAGAGCCTGTTAGCACAGCCTGGGATGGAGGCTTTACATGGAGAAATCGCTTTAGGTTGCCCTCATTTGTTTCTTAAAGTCAAGCATTATTCCAAAATTCAGATCATACCTGGAAGAGTAGTGTGTTAGTACAAACAGATTGGAAGCAAACTGCATAATGAGTAGCCAGCAATGACACCTATTAAGGGAGTCACATCGACAGGACCCAGTGGACATGGGCAGGGGAGAAGGAGCCCTCTAGGCACTGAACCAGTGTCACTTTCCTCTCTGGGGGGTCCAGAAAAAGCCATGGATTGGAGTGGAAACCAGGATCACAATGCCAATGTGACTATAAATTAGGAGTCGCAGCATTTTAAAGGTAGATTTGGAGGGGAAAATACACTGTTTCCTTTGCTTCAGTAAGAAGCTCACTTATTCAGATTCTATAGTCAAACCTGGCACACTACAATTAATAGTTGCCTGATAAACATTTTTACATTTGAACTGAAAGAAACATTCTCATCTGAATAGCAACATATCCAGATTACAATTTAACAAAGAGGACTTTGGGCCTCTTTATTACTAGTCTTATTTTTTTTAATTTATTTAACAAATACTTATATGTTGCTAATTATGTTCCATGCATAATCCTAAGCATTTTATATGTTACATCATTTGATTCTTATACAAGCCCTATTAATTTCTATTGTCATCCCCACTTTTCCTGATGAGAAAACTAAGGAACAGAGATTTACTTGCCCAGTGTCACTTGTGGTCAATGGTGGAGCTGGGATTTGGATACTGGCAATTTGATTCAAGGTCATGCTCTCAACACTATGCTCCGCATCCTCTCTATGACTAGAGATCTACAAAGGTCTTGAAAATTTCATGCTTGGAGAATGCAGCTTGTGTCATCTGGGTGCTCTGGTGGGGACAAGGCAATTCCATGTATTTGCCAACCCCCCTCCCTTTCCTCTCGGGCAAAGAGACCACAAAACCCAGCATTGTAGTTGGGCTATAGCCACATAACTGAGTTCTGACCGATGGAACATCCATGAAAATAAAGGCGGCTCCCAGCAGACCTGGCCATAACACACCTCACAACTGTTTACCTTTCTTTTCTTGCCTGTGGCTGGATACAGAGGAGTCAGAGAAGGACTCTGAAGTCTAGAAACCAGCAGAGCCCTGGACAGAAGGAGCTCAGGTTCCTGAATCAATGCACAGGAGGGAGCATTTTGCTGCCCAGTATCCATTGACCCACCTGGATGGTGACAAGAGCAAGACATTGTCCTCTGCTGTGTCGTCATTAAGATTTTGAGGTTGCTACAACAGCCAGCATTACATGACATTTAGAATGATCGATACACTTAAATCACAGGAAAATAATTTTACCAAAGATTAAGATTAACATTATGAGGAAATCCAAATGCATAACGTCATATTTGATTTCTCAGGGTGTATGTGTGGCTCTTATTATTCATCTCTTTGGTGAGTTCAGGCTTTTACTCCAAAATGACAGAAGATTAGGGAAAAGTGGAGGCAAATATGTGACTACTTTAAAACATCTAGATAAATGCCAGATAATCTTCCCACTGTAAGTGAGATTTCAAACAAGGAATTAGTCTCTTTTGATAGGAATGCTTTGCTTATACTCGGCAAGAAAAATGCAGACCGTCAAGTTATCTAGAATCAGCATCTATAACAGGCTATTAACTCTTGTAGAGACTCCACAAGTCCTTGTTTCTGGTTATCCTCAACAGAATGAAAGGAATTTGTTTTTAACTATTTGTAAGAAATACCTAATTAATTCGTTCAAAGGAATTAATCCTATTTGATTCACTTGTTTTATTTCTCTAACAACAAACTGCTCCTCATAACTACTAAAGGCATGCTAGTGGGGCTCAGCATTCTTGACTGGCATTTTATATAGATAGATCATCTGATCTGAGAAAGCATTTAAACCCAGAGTTTAATGACCAAACTCACTGTACTGTTGTGTCAGAAATATGCCGAGGGTTTTAGGGAAACACACAGGGGAGCTGCCTCCCCCAGCCTGAGAAAGAAGCAGACAGGAAGGATTTCCTGCAGAAGTCATGTCCTGGGCCAAGGGTCTCCTGCAAACTGAAATTAGACTTTACCATTCCTAGGTGGAAAATTCCATTAGAAACTGGACCTGTTAACATGTATGCTGGACCATGTGCACAGCTGGAAATCACTGCAGCTCTTTGTTAACTCCACTGAGCTCTCTGACTCCTCCTGACATTATTAACTAATAAAGCTTACTTGATCTGTTCTGTTGATAGTATCAACACCTTTTCTTATTTTCAATCCCACATATAATCAACAGACCAGAAGATGGGGATAATGGAAGCCTTTAAGCCATAACAATTTCCTTTGCCTCAGCCCTGGAAATATGTGAGCCCAGAGAAAGAAACTTTTGGATAAAAAGCGTCTGCTTCTCCTCAAGGGGATCTGAGTCATTCTGAGGCTGTGGTCCACACTCGGGCCAGACAGACAGAACCAAGTCGAGGAGGAAGCACTGCTCTGGTGTGCCGAAAGGCAGAATATGCACACGTGTGGGAGATAAATATTCCCACCATAGCCAATTTCAAGCTGCCAGTCTGAAATCACTGAGCATGGAGTAGGAAAGAGGTACATAGCAGCAAACCAGGATGTAGTGTTTTTATCTTATAGATATAAGAGATGTAGAAAACCTCAAATGCAATAAAATGTAATAAAACAATTAGGAAGGGACATGCTTTGACCACTTATTACCTTTGCTTTTAATATAATGTGTTTACATACTTATAAAATTTCATTTTTATTAATGGCTATATTCAACAAATGGCTCACAAAATTCCCAAATATATATCAGTTGGCCTTCTCAAGCCACCCAAGCCAGCTCCAGCACACACTGATTCTACACACACCCTTCATTAATTTAAGGCACCTAACAAGGAGATAGCAGGGACTTCTTCCTGGCTTCCCATCCTCACACCCCCACACAGCTCTGTGCTCTCTCCCAAGTTGGGGCAGAGGTGGAATTACTGGTGGCCAGTAGATACAGCCCAGTCCTTCTGGCAACCATGGCTGTCTGCACATCATCTCCATTCCATACCTTCCAATCTTATTCTCAGCAGGCTGAGGCAAATATCTGGTTTTCCTCAACACTCACCTAATCCACCAGGTGCCTATCCCAACATGCTTCCAGCTAGCCCTGAACCACACAGCAAGAAGCTTCACAGTCTCCCAGCCTTCTGGCAACAGAATCCCAAAACTTCAGCAGAATTGCCTGTTCTCATCATTCCTCTACTTCCATTCATCATTAACTATCACCATTTCCATAGTCCAATTTAACAAAATCATGTCAGGCCCAGGCACCAAGGAACATATAAATGCTCACGTCCCTGAAAGGTCATTTTATTGAGTAAATATGACACACAAACAGAGCACAGAAGAGAATAAAGAGCTGTTTAAACCAGCTGCTAAAATGTGTGGCTCTTCATCCTCATCTGGATGTCTTCTCTATAATCAGCAGCCACAGCTTCCCGAGAGTCAAGCATCCTCCTTAAAACAGCCCCAGTTCCCCTTCCAGAAGGAAGGCGCCATTACATCCTACGCCCTTCTCAACCCTGCTCCCCAATTAACAGCTGAGCAATTTGTGCCAGCAAGTTCCTCAACTAAGACAGAAAAGACGTGCCTTTAATCCCTCAGCAAGTGTGTGTGGTGTCCTCACTGCAGAGCCACAGGAAGGGGGCAGGGTTGGCCACTGCCCCCTTTAGGGAGCCAGGATACATCTGCACAAGGGGGTCCTAACAACACAAGTGGCCTGTGAAGATACAAAAAAAGTCAATACACACTCCCACTCCATTTCACAACACAAGCCCCACTGCTTCATCACACCTGACACACATGAGATTAATATTTAAACCATCACATGAGCCAAGGATTAAGAAGAAAGGGTGTCCCTGCTGGACTGACACATTGAAACAATAAAATCCCCTAAATATTTTGGGGGTCAGCTTTAGGTATCACTTTAATAAACTGATAGGTACACTAAATGAATCATTCAATCGTGTCATGGAAAACTAAGTCACAAAAAATGCAACAATGTGAGTAGGCAGGAGTGGGGGTTAATTCCAATTGTGCTATTATAATTGATAATATAAAGGAAAATATAAATTATTTCAATGGAACTATCCAAACTTTGCCTACAGAGTGAAGGACTCAGACACTTCCCTACCAGACCAGTTCCTGACCGGGAACCTCAATTCTTACTTACACAGAGGCAACCTGATCCCCTCCCTTGGCCTCTCATGTCAACTGTCTTCCTGAATGACTTAAGGGTCCTGGAATTTCCTGACTCCAAAAATTTTCATGTCAACTCTCTGATCCCCTGGCAGAATGTCTCCTGCACTCCTTTCTTGGCTGTAGGTTCAGTAGCCAGGACACTGCTGGGCACTTCAGGACATAAGACAAAGCAGGAGCCATGTGAAAAGATATCATTACAGGGCTATTATAGAAGTGTGGCCTTTAGGGGAGTTTAGGGGCAGTGGTGTGCAGGAAGACTTCAGACCAGGTTGCAGGCTGTAAACCTGCGGCCAGGATTCTGGTTGTGGGGCAGGATGCTCAGGAGGAGTTAGTCACAGATTGAAGTGGAGGACCCTTCCAAAGACCTAGATATTGTGTGCCACCCTGCCCAGGTCAAAATGGACCATTAAAACAGGCCCTCGATCTCCAGAGATAAAGAGCCCTCTTCTACTTCCAGACAGGTTGCACAAAGCCACTCAGTGGTTCTTCTGACTGTTCCTACAAAGACAGTGCATTCAAAAAGAAAGGGCAGCCTCACCATCCTGGAAAAAAAAATCCTAAAACAAGGCTAATGCCATGTCTCAGTTTATATATTCTTTTCTTTCCTTAATCCAATGAAGTTGCATGTTACAGGGGTGGTTTAATGATTATCTGGGTTTGGCAGCAGGTCTACAGTAATCCTTAATCTAGGCAATAAAAT